GTGAGAACTGCTGCAGGGTCAGGGTTTGCTTCTTGACACTTTGCTCATGGCAGAGAGAGGAGAAATCTCAGTAAGTCCGTGTCAGATCTCTTGCACCATCACTGAGTGGAGGAAATTGAGACACTTGACTTAACCATGTAGATATTATCTCTCACCAGTGTGCTCTTTTTCTCTCTCCACTAGCTGAGCAGAATGAAGCTGTTGGTTTGTATCTTCTTGGCCTCTCTTGCTGCTGCTGCTACTGCACATCTACACTCAGACCCGACGCTGGATAACCACTGGGAGCTCTGGAAGAAAACCTATGGCAAACAATACAGCCACAAGGTGGGCTCTGTGCAGCTGTGGGGTTAAAGTGGGGGAGAAGGATTTCCATCACCATCTCCCCTCAGGTCAGCAGGTATCTGGGATCTTAGCATGCCAGCCCTATGCCAGCTCTCACTGAGAACGCTGTCTCCTGCTCTTCTCCTGGAGATTGCAAAACTCTCTCTGCTTTCAGAAGTGTATTCAGTTTTAATTGGGCCCTGTATGTACCCTCCACCTTGCCTAAACCATCCCGGGGGTTAGCTCATTTCTTCAAGCGTGTTTTGTTCGGGATCTATTAGAGCCAGGTGACATTGTTCACGAAACTCTTCTTTATTTTTTATTTATTTTTATTTTTTGGTGGAAAAATGCAGACTCGGGTTGACAGAAAAAATTGGGGAATTCGGCTCGATTTTGGCAAATTTTTTCGGTCAAATTAAAAAAAATAAGATGGAAAGGTGGGAAAAATGGTTCATTTCAGCGTTTAATAAATGAACTGTTTTGACTTGTCCTTTTGGAAAGCCATTTTGTGTTGTAATTCCCCTCCATTCTATTAACAATAACTAAATAAAAAGGTTTTAAAAGCCCCAAATTGAAACAAAACGTTTGACCCAAATCCAAAAATCTTCAATTGATTTTCAAAACATTGTTTGGTTTGGCTACAAGGTGTCATCACTGTCCTGCTGGCAATTACATTCTGCCAGCCTATAATTCCCCATATGATTTAATTGGATACAGTGTGATTCTTCTCTTTTTGTCCTACCCTGTTGTGTAGTGTTGCTGTGTGCTGTTAAAAAGTTTCTGCACACCACTCCAGAACTGGCTGCATTTTGAGGTTGGGGAAAGACTCAATCTTTCCACACTTAACTTGTTAAGACTCCCCTTGATTTCCCAGGAAGTTTTGCTTGAGTGAGTGTTGCAGGATCTGGGCAACATTTTTGCAAAGCACTTAGAATCATAGAGTCATAGAATATCAGGGTTGGAAGGGACCTCAGGAGGTATCTAGTCCAACCCCCTGCTCAAAGCAGGACCAATCCCCAACTAAATCATCCCAGCCAGGGCTTTGTCAAGCCTGACCTTAAAAACCTCTAAGGAAGGAGATTCCACCACCTCCCTATGTAACCGATTCCAGTGCTTCATCACCCTCCTAGTGAAAAAGTTTTTCCTAATATCCAACCTAAACCTCCCCCACTGCAACTTGAGACCATTGCTCCTTGTTCTGTCATCTGGTACCACTGAGAACAGCCGAGCTCCATCCTCTTTGGAACCCCCTTTCAGGTAGTTGAAAGCAGCTATCAAATCCCCCCTCATTCTTCTCTTCTGCAGACTAAACAATCCCAGATCCCTCAGCCTCTCCTCATCAATCGTTTTTGTTGCCCTCCGCTGGACTCTTTCCAATTTTTCCACATCCTTCTTGTAGTGAGGGGCCCAAAACTGGACACAGTACTCCAGATGAGACCTCGCCAATGTCGAATAGAGAGGAATGATCATGTCCCTCGATCTGCTGGCAATGCCCCTACTTATACACCCCAAAATGCTGTTAGCCTTGTTGGCAACAAGGGCACACTGTTGACTCATATCCAGCTTCTCATCCACTATAACCCCTAGGTCCTTTTCTGCAGAACTGCTGCCTAGCCATTCGGTCCCTAGTCTGTAACAGTGAATGGGATTCTTCCGTCCTAAGTGCAGGACTCTGCACTTGTTCTTGTTAAACCTCATCAGACTTCTTTTGGCCCAATCCTCTAATTTGTCTAGGTCCCTCTGTATCCTATCCCTACCCTCCAGCGTATTTACCACTCCTCCCAGTTTAGTGTCATCTGCAAACTTGCTGAGGGAGCAGTCCATGCCATCCTCCAGATCATTAATGAAGATATTGAACAAAACCGGCCCCAGGACTGACCCTGGGGGCACTCCGCTTGATACCGGCTGCCAACTAGATATAGAGCCATTGATCACTACCCGTTGAGCCCAACGATTTAGCCAGCTTTCTATCCACCTTATAAGCCATTCATCCAGCCCATACTTCTTTAACTTGCTGGCAAGAAGACTGTGGGTTCCTGGGGGATAAAAAAGTGCTGTAGAAAACTATAACTCATTTATACTACAGATGGTTTCCTCTGGGCTACTGCATAATAACGTGGGGGCTGTGCTTTGGTTCCAGAAAGAGGAAGGGGAACGGCGCGTGACCTGGGAAAAGAACCTCAAGCTCGTTATGCTACATAACCTCGAGCACTCACTGGGGCTGCATTCCTATGAGCTGGGCATGAACCACCTGGCAGACATGGTAAATTAAAAAAATAGACCAAGTGACTGGGCATCTGGGAATTATCAGTATTTCCCTGGGGGTGCCGTGGCCAGAGAATGTAACTGAATCAGGGGCAGAATAAGCGCCAGCCAGTCCAGGGTCAGTATGAGCCCTGCAGAGGTAGGCCCCCAAACCACAGCACCCCTCTGCGTCCTCCAGCAGCAACCCGCCCCTGTCACCATTCCGAGAGCTGTGCAAATCTTTGTTCTACTTGCTTGGGTCAGGGTTGTGTGAGGGAAATCTGCCATCAGGGGGGTAGTCCTGATTTTTTAAGTGCAGGTGCTCCACCCCCTGCTAGCCCGCTGCTGGGGTGACCCCCTCCCCCCCAGCATATTTCTGTATCAAATGGCATCCTCCAAGCATCGTGATCTTGCACATACAGTGCATGTGAGGTCAAAAGTGTGGGAATCTCATTCCTGTAGGTTCCTGCTTCTCTACCTTACTGTGTCTGCCACCCTCCCTTATCCCCATGAGAAATGTCACATGTGGAATAACACACGACCTGTCTGGTAGGCCGTTCCTGGTTAAAGAAGTTGGTCCTTTAACTGAAATTGCAGGGGCTTGTGTGTCAGATCCCGTTATTGCCAACGCCAAGCATTCAGAATTTAGGAGTCAGGCGCCTAAAATCATGGGGGGATTAAAAATTCTGAGATTTAAAAAAAGTCTAAGTCTGGGGGCTCTTTTTATTTGCCTCTGGGTTTTGCGCTTTTAAGGGTTATGTTTTCCTGCAGTTCTCCACAGCTATACAAGAGCTAGAAAAAAAAAAAAGCTGAAATTCTTGTGCAATTTCACCACCCCCCCACATTGGTGCTTTAAGGAAAACACCAGATATTGTGACACTCTCAATAAAATCAAGAGACTTGGCAATGCTGGTGCTCCTGGGTAGAGCTATGTGAAGAAGAGATTTTTTTTGGTTTGGGGGCTGAAAAAATCAATCAATCAATCAATCAAAAGTTAGTTTCAGATGGACCTGAAATAGCAATGGTGAAATGAAAAAAAAGATGAAAATAATTCATTTAGGGTCGGACAACACGTTTAGTTTAGTTTTCTAGATTATTTTACCTTTTTAAAAAAATAAATAAATGAAATAGAAGTAAAATTTGATCTTAAAAGTCATTTTGAATCCAAACATTTGGACTAGTTTTGAATTTTTTTTTCCCGGCTGAAACAATTTTGGAAATTCAAGGTGAGTTCACGCAATGTTTCAGTCGACCCAAATATGCATTTTTCAGATAAAAAACATTTGGTTAGTCTGAAAACTTTCCGGCAGCGCTAGTCCTGTGTTCTATCTCCAGCAATGTCCTGA